GCAGTGAAAGGAAACAATGACCATTTTTAGACTGATAAAGAAAAAAATAACATTACTTATAATACAAAGTATGAAATCAGTATTAAAAGAATCCCATTGGCAGTGAGGTATCAGCAGAACTCAAAGTTTTGCTAACAAACCAAGAGTTTAAAAACTAATCTTAAAGTGAATGTGAAAGAATTAAAAGGGAAAGATAACAGCTGAATAACAGTCCTGCTTCAAAACTTAACTCTGTGTTCATATTTTAGCTTCCCCTGGGCATTATCTTACACCTTTCTCTGAAGCAGAGGAATCCATCTCCTATCAGTCCTCTGGCTGTGGAGAATAAGGCTGAGTGATCCACACACGTGAGAACTGTCCTCTGCCAACTCCTCAGCACAGCCTGTTTTCTTACCCCTGGGCACAGCAACCAAGGAAATACTGGGTTTCTGCTCAGTATCAGAAGATAGCGAATTTCAGACTGTATCTGACAATCTTAAGAAAATTTTTCATCATCTCAACAGTGTACTTTACATCTAAGAGAACAATGGAAAAAATGTGTCCTTTTCCTATCTAAACTTTGCAGCTGCTCCAAGGGAAACAAACTCAACTTTTACTGTTTATTTCAGGGGAAACATGTTAATGCTACAAGCTGGCTGTGGGGGAATTAGCAGTTCACTCATTAGTTGTTCATGCATCAGGGGCAAAGTCAGGGAGTCCATTCTAGAAAAAGAGACAAAGTTGCTAAAGTCATTAGTTACCATCAGAGTCACCGAACAGCCAGGGAGCTTCCACAGGCTACTGTCTGCTGATACGACTCTGCAGTTAATGAAGCCCTCAATTTGTGTTTGCATTTCTGCATTTCATGGTAGAGTGAAAACTGCAACTTGGTGTGTACCTTCTAGAAACCTTTTTTTGGAGTCACTTTTACCTAAATCCTTTCCTAATCATCTTTTTCTCTAGAACAACGAAGTCCAAGCTGGAGGGCAGATTCCTAGCTGTGGCCATGGCTCTGTCAGCCAAGTTAAGCCAACCCAGCTGCCCGAGTTTTAGTGAGTGACTCTGTGATGCAGACAGCATCCCAGGCCTGCTATGGCTCCTGAAGGAACCAGCTCCTTCTCCTCCATCCTAGGGGCTATCACAGATACCTCAAATGCTGAGTATGCCATCTGTTGGAGTCCTTAAGCCAGCACTCCTCACCTTATGGGTTCCCTGGTCTCTTTACTTAATATCTCCTCAATTAACTTAATATCTCCTCCCACACCATCTCTGAAAGCTTCAGGCTTCTCTGGAAAACAGGCCACCCTATGGGGACAACAGCTTCCGGTCATGTCTTGCTAGCATGCTACTTATCTAGAGGAAGAGCTGCTCTTCCCATTAATCCTTTATGAGCCATTTAATGCAGACCTTAATCACCCTTCATAGGATTCTGTAATTGCCTCACAGATATTTTGGGTTTTTTATTAACAGACTTAGTAAATCTCAGTTTGAAGATAAACTTTTAAACAGTTTTTTCAACCCAGTAGACACGCTCCTGTTCCACTACAGAAAACTGGTGGTAGCTTTAAGGGAGAAGAAGTATGAAGAAATAAAACTATTTTTTCTCATTTGTTTGACCCCTACGAAAAAGGAAAATTTTTTAATGGATTCCCGTAGTCCAAGATATGACAAATATAAAGGAGTATTTCCATTGCTTGAATATTTAAAATTCTTATTTAATTTTATTCATTTTCTGACAATACCTTTTCAAACTATAATTTCTCATTCACAATAGCAAAAGTAGGTCTTGCATAACAATGTGAGCATGACATTTATAAATGCTTAAACGTCATTTCAGCCCAGATACAGAGGTTTGTGACAACAAATGAACAGGCGGATACTACCATCTTATGGGGCAAGTAATAAGAAATTACATGCAGCAATCAAGTTTATAAATATCTCAGTATCTCTGGTGAAACCTCAGCCACATCATTATGGCTTTTAGAAAGCTTTTACACCCCTCTTAGATTGACTGCATGATAATTTGCAACATGATAAACGATTGAGGAAAAAGTATTTTAAAATGTCGTGTCTTTCTGGTGCCTGACAAACATTGTGAAATGTCACCATTCTCTTCTGCAGTTACTGTCAGCTAAGGTCTTCTGCAGTTACCTAGGAACAGCATACATATCATTAGTATTAGACAGGTCGTCCAATTAAAGATGACTAACCACTGCCATTTTCAGGTCAGGCTGTATTTGTACAGTAAAGACAGTAATTTTCTAAAATGTAGGGGCAAAAAGTTTAGCACCTACTAATTACATATACTATGAGTCAAGGTAATGTCATGTGACTAGTCATGGTCTAATGTCAAGCAGTTAACCTTAAAATGTACAGTACTTCATTCATGGAAGTGCAAGCCATATGGAAGAAGAAGAAAAAAAAAAAACCCTACTGGAAAGTTTAAGTGCTTAATGAACTGGTTTACAAATCAGCCTCAAATACCCTTAAAAACTAGAGTCCTTCTTCTGCTTTCCCATATTTCTTACAGAAAAGCCAGCAATGTTCCTGAAATAACATACTTAGTGTTTTCGATTACTTACAGTTGCTTGTCATTTTTAATATGCCAACCAGTAAACTTTTCTTGTAGATAAATGGTGTGGAAAATCTCAGAATGCCTGCTGGCAAGAAATTCATTCATTAAATGTGATTGAAGACTTTCTTATGCTCCACATTTTTGTTAGTAGTTCAAAGAGAAAGAAATTCTCTGGAGATTAACTAAATGGAAAACCAAGGATTATAAAACAGGCTTTGCCTTTAAATATGAAAAAAAGTAAGAGAGGGAAAGAAGAAAATAAATTAGGAGGGAGGTGAGTTTGGAAAGTGAAAGAATTAGAAAATATGGATTTCTAACAAAC